TATAGATGTCCCCTGAACCCAGGAGCAATGTTTGTTGGAAAACAACACTGTTGGCTGGGGTATGTGAAAAATGGTTGACCCCCCAAATCCTGAGCAGCTGCTGTTTGGTAAAATGGAAGAAATGCCAGAAGGACAAATGTAGCAGTGGTTACTACTATGCAGTACACTCTACTCATGCTAGACACTACAGAAAGAATATATTAGGCACTACTGGGTGGAAAGCCAAGTGACTGATAAGAAAATACCATGTATAAGTGTTCAGAAATGAGTTGCTGTTAGCAAGACTTAGGGAAAATCTCCTGGAGGGATGAGAAGGCATGAAATGAACATCAAGGGAAGGATGGACACAGAAACAGGAGAAGGATTTCTTTAGCATGCAAAACACCAAGAGCAAAGAGTGGTGCCAGAAATGAGAATGTCATGTTCGAAAAACTGCAGGGAGTCCACAGTCTAGGCACAGTGGGACCTAGAAGTAGCACAAAAATGTCCCCCAAATAATCTGCATTATGGTATCATTTACTCAATTCTATAAGGAGACTTTGCAAAACTTGCAGTGTAAACTGGTCCTCTTCTGGCTAAGAAGAGCAGCACAGCTTGAGTGGAAACAGCAAAATAATAAACAAAAGACAAAAACATCAACAAAAACCCCTCGAAGCAACACTCTGGTTTCTCTTCGGATTTTACTAAAAAACCCTGAAACACTCCCCAGTAGGTGACCTATGTTGGTCAGTTGCTTTTGTCAGTAGCTTCCTGTAGTTACTGTTCACTGAAATTTTGAAACCATGGCTTGCATAGTTACAGGAATGAATGATTTGTTTTATCTAAATTTTATATCCTTTAGAGGATATTCAAAGACTTTGGACTACTTCCAAAGACATACATTTCAGAAAATAATAAAATAATACTCAAGAGAAGATGAAAACTTCAGACAAGTGGAAAATAATTTGCTGGGAAAATGGTTTTTATAACTTTTTTTTTCAGAAAAAGTGAATTCATTGATGAGCCTGTTACAGTGTTCAACTTAGAAAATTAATAGAAATTATTTGATAATATGTATATAATATTAACAATATATTAATAGAAATAAGAATGTAGTGGAAATTAATTAATGATAGAAAATAAATTAATAGAATAGAAAATTTAATTAACTTTTAATGAAAATTTAAATAATACTGGCTGGCCATAGTGGCTCATGCCTGTAATATCACCACTTTGGGAGGCCCAGGTGGGAAGATTGTTTGAGGCCAATCAAATTGGTTCAAGACCAGCCTGGGCAACACAGTGAGAGCCATATCTCTACAAAAAATAAAAAAATTTAGTCAGGTATGGTGGCATACGCCTGTATTCCCAACTACTCAGGGTGTTGAGCCAGGAAGATCATGTAAGCCTGAGTCTGAGGTTGCAGTGAGCTATGATTGCACCACCGCACTGCAGCCTGGGCAACAGAGCAAGACCCTGTCTCTAAAAAATTAATACAAAAATGCTAGTTTGAAAGAGCACCAAATTACTCATCTACTCAAGGCAGGTTTCTCAAGGTCTGAGTTGGAAGTCCTCTTGAAGAGAAGTGTGAGGTCAGATGGAAAAATAGTTTGGGTTTAAATGATGGAAATCCTAAAATGACCATCTTAGGTTCTCAGCTTTTGTCTGATATTTAGGAAAAGACCTTTGAAGGTACCTGAGCACAATGAGGAAAGTGATGTTAAGGAGGGGAAATGTTGTGGCTATATATAGGTAGGCAGGAAAGGGGTACAGGGAGAAAAGTCAAGGACCTGTTGAAGTAATTAGGCATGAGACAGTGACCATCTAGCCTATCGGTGATTGAAGCCCATTAGAAACAATCTGACACACTTTGAAGAGAAATTAACAATGCTTTTCATTGTGGCTGACCAGCTAAATGAGAAATCCAAGAAGGCTCAGGGGATAAGCATGAGAGACTAGGGAAACAGTGATACCGTGACAAAATGAGGAATTTGAAGCTTAGAGGAGATGCTCATTGGAGGGATAGACAGACGAGTTTAGGTGGCAGATTGACACACGGCAACAAGATACGGATTAATTCAATATGTAGGTGGAAAGGCTATGTTAGAGGAGGCTTTCCCTCACCCACAATATGTATTCATAAAGAGACAGTCTGCACAAAATATGATGCCAATGATAGGTTTCTTCATGGCACACAATGAAGAAATACCCATTGAACATGCATTGCTTTCTGCCCCCTTATGTCCTTCACATATGGATCTGTGGACCTAGAAAAAACTGAGGTATGTCTTAAACAACAAAGAATTTATTTGAGCTAAATTTGAGCCACTGCAGCCCAGGAAATGCTTCCAAGTTACTTTGCGAAGTGCCCTGGAGAACAAAAGAGATGCTGGAGCTTTTAAAGAAAAAAGGATGAATCAGGAGAGGGGGAGATTACAAAAGTTGTTTTTCAACTGCTACAGTTGGTGTGATTGTATCTAAAGGGACTGGTTTTAACAGTTAAAAAGGCCGCCTGTGGTAAGGGACCTTCCAGAGCTCAGCAGGAAGCAGTCAGCAGATGCTTTGGCCATTGTTCAGCCAGGAAGTTGTGACCTCCATCCACGGCCTGCCTGAGGTTCAAGCTAAAATGGCCTCCTGGCTCCATTTTAGATTCTTTGATTAACCCGTTGTCATTTTCCTTCATCAGATCCTAACACCAATTTCTGTCACATCTTGAGTATAAAAAGCAATAATAAATATGAAATTTCATAAGCCCAAGTAAAATATTTATCCTCTTTACATTCACATATTTCTTCTGAGCTGAAATAAAATATCCCACATATAACCAATTATTTTTCTTTGCTGGGCAACAGATTTATTATTCGTTTACTAAAAAAAGTTTAGCACAAAGATATATTATGTAGAAAGATAAAGCATGACACTTTTTATATTTTCGCTGATTTTTGAAAAAGAGACATTTCTGGTAGAACTACATAAACACAGACATGAAAAACACCAACATCACATTTTTAAACAATTGGCAAGCACATTGGGCCTTAATAAAAATAAAATTAAACTGATAATTTTGGAAACTGCATACTGTGATATGTGTACATGTTTCTTCTGGAAAAATCTACAAAGTTGGTTCCAAATGAAGATTACCTACTGGAGTAATTCAAAGGCAAGGAATATTTAAACCTAGTTGTTTCAAGAGGAGAAACAACAACGGCAGCCATTAGATCTGGAAAGAACGGAGCACTTAAGATAGGCATTCTTATCTGATTCAAAAGTTAACTCTAGGTACTCAAAAGTTAGCTCTCTAGGTGCTCTGGGAGCAGTCTTATTCATTGAATTAACAATAGCTCGTATTAGAAGTGATGAAATTTTCAGTTGCCTTAGGTTGCTATTACTATCACTATCTTAAAGTTTTTGAGTCCAGCTTTTCATTATATATAAATAAGATTAGTTTCTTTTCATCTGTGTGATAGCCCTTCAAAAGAAAAGAACTTGAAAAGGTAGAAAAGCAAGGAAAACAGTAACAAAAGGACCAATATGTGGAAGAGATAAATGCATAAAAAAATTTAGCTCAACTAAAATTCATTATTATTCAAATGGCATCCCGCCAGCTCACAAAGACAGAGGGGGATCATGAGGGCTTTCCTCTATGAACTTCAAATCTATGCAGGAAGACAATAAGTTCTATGTATGTAATTCAATAACAAAAGAATACAATTTCCAAGGTGAAGCAATAGGCATGATAGTATATGCCAAATAGCTGAGAAAGTCTGATGTCATTAAAAGAGGCTCCAAAAAGGAAATATATGTGATCCCATGCCAAGGGAGGTGTAGGATTTGTCACAGAAACCCCAGACAGGACGATAGCATAGGATAACCTGAGGGAAATGATTAGGCTGCTAAGGAGTCAGGAGTAACTCAGAGAAGATGTAAAGAGGAAGAGCAATAGGCAAGACCCACAAGTTAATGGAGGGCCTTGAATAGAGGACAGAGGCATAGGAGTCTGATTCTAGAGCTCCTAGGAAGCCACTGTAGGTTTTTAAACAGGAAAGTGGCTTCAGAAGTAAGCAGATGTTGTATATCCATTACATTAAAACAATCTACTGAGTTGAATGAAAATTTGATCAAACTCATGTTTGGATGTACATAGTTTGATCTGGTCTTTTGCTTTGGAGGTATGATGATGGACATGCAATATGGTTCAGATATTTATATGGTGAAAAGTTAGGATTTAAAAAGTTTAGTCATCTAATAATCTTACCTTTTAATAAACTGACATATGAAGCATTTATACTTGACTATGCTGAGATTTTTGCAAATATGGTTCCCTAAAATTATTTATAAATTATTAAAATTTGTTTATCAACTAAATAAATGCACATAGTACTATGGACTGAATTGTGTTCCTCCAAAATTCATATGTTGAAACCCTACCCCCCAGTATATTTGACCTTGACTCAAAGTCTTCAGAACCATGAGAAATTGATGCCCTGCACAGCAGTTCACACCTGTAATCTCAGCACTTTGGAAGGCCTCAGTGGAAGGATCGCATGAATCCAGGTATTTGAGACTAGCCTGGCAATAAAGTGAGATCTATGAGAAATAAATTCCTGTTGTTTAAGTGTGGCATTATGTTATGATAGCCAGAGCAGACTAACATACATTGCAACATTATAAACAATCTCAGAAACTTCACTGATACTCTCTCTCCACGACATTCTCTAAATTTTTCTTGGCTTTACCTTAAAAGTGGGTGGCAGGCAAGGGGAACGTGAACTAATGGCTACTGAATGTTGAATTAGCACCTGTTACATGCCGTACATATATTATTGAATTTAATCCTGGTAGGCATATGTGACACAGTGATCTATAGGGAATGTTTCAATACAACTTTATTGGAAACAAGTGATAGAAAATGTGCACATTTTATAATCCACAATTAGGAGTCTTCTAAGTAGTATACACATATAACGAATTTATAACTGTTAACCACAGTGGACAATGAAAATAAAACACTCCTTGATAAGTTTTCTGAAGGATAATCAATAATTTATTTCTCTTTAATTGTCACAATTACCACCATTATCTAGCTACATGACCAATGTCACTACATATCACAGGAAGATTGTCCACCTACACTTTACTGAGACAAAGACAATGGCCATTTTTGTGTTAAATGTACAATGAGATGTTAACACCATTTATATGTTAAATGTACAATGGGATGTTAAAAAGCAGTGGCTTTTATGTGTAAGACAAGATGTGGCACATGATTTATTACAAACAGGTTTGATTTCAAACATATTATGCCAAGAAACAAGCATAGAAATGTTTTGGCATTAAGTTGTTATTAAAGTAGAAAATAAGTAAACTAGAGAAATAAATCCAGATTTTCACTTACATTAGATACATTGAAGTAGGAAATTAATTGGCTCCTCAGTATTTTTGTGCAAGTTTTTTTTTTGTTTTCTTTCCTTTTGTTTTTGATTTTTTTAATAAACGAGTAATATGAATATATCACAAGTAAAAGAAAGATCTCAGCCAAAACGAAGGTACCAGTATATGAAAAACAAATGAAAATTTACCAGGTATTTTTTGCTTACAAAAAATTTAAACTATAAAGAGTCACAAAATATATATAAAAACGCCACATTGAACGAGGCAATCATACTCTACCGAAACTGGTAGCATCCTCTGAAAATCAGTCACATGCATTCCATTCATTCGGTCATACAGTGGTCACCGACAAGAAGGCATTATGGACTCTTGTGCCATCTGGAGACTTGGCCCCATGGGTCATCAGTTCTTGGATTGTCATCCAGTTGTCCAAAATTTTCTTGTTTCTCTTCTTCATCATCTTTTTGTGACTCAGTTCAATGATATTGATCTCCTTCTTGCCCTCACTGCCACTCTGAGGGCTCTCCTTGAGACACTCTAACCGGCTGCGCATCATGAACTCACGGCGGCGGCGCTGCTCTTTGGCCCTAAGCAGGTGCTGCTTTCTCTCCTCTTTGCTCCAGTAGCGCCCCATTTTCATCTCGCTCATGGTGTCATCGTCTGTGGTCATGCCACTCCGCTCCTCCTTGATCTTTAAGGCACGTTCCTTCAGGATGCGGTCTCGCACGGGTCTCTTTGTGATGTACCGTGTCCCGTCGCTCCTAATTTTCACCTTCCATTCCATCTTGGGCTCTGAACACTTCTGAGACTCCTTGCACATGCTCACCAAACTGAGCTGACTCTGAGCATACTCGACGGCAGATTTCTGTTGAATTAACTGCATGTAGCTTTGATAATGCCGGGCGTGTGCTGGGATGTTTGCATATCTATATGAGGAGCTGTGGTAAGGAGAGAGGTAAGGGATGTGTTCGCTGTCTGCCTTCTCTTGATCAGGAAGCTTGCTGCCTTCCAAAATCTCCTTGCTTTCAGCGCTACAGCCTTGCTCAGTGGTTTTGGCTTTGGTGGAGGTCGACTCTTTACTGCTCTGTCCGGAAGAGGACTGGGTGGCTGCCATTGTGCTTCTCAGGTTTTTCTTATTGGTGAGGTTGATCATCCTTGGAAGGGAACTGTCAGGGGAACGGTCTACGGTGAGCGGAGTACTTCTGCAGCTCTCAGCTGTGTTGTAAGCACTAGAACTGTCCTTGTCAGACTTTTCTGGATGCTCCATGATGTCGTCCAGCTTTCCCCTTTGCAGATCTATGCTGGTGTTGTAATTCCGGAATCCTCCATCATGCAATGTCCAGATGTCTCCATACTGGTCTGTCACTTTCTGGAGCCTGTGAGCTTGCATGATATTCTGACACTCAAGCTCAATGTTTCTCAGCTCTTCATTAAGCAACTGTAGCTCATGCTCCACTCCCTCTTGCTCCCCTTGATTGCATTCAATTGTGCTGCTCGAGTAATACAGGTCATACTCTCCATGATTTCGAATCTTGCATTTGAGCTCCAAGAGCTGCCTGAATCTTTCACAGTCCTCATCTTGGTTGCCAACGCAGTCTGAGTCAATGTATTCACCAGACACGAGGCTCTCATTGTACTGAAGTTCAACACTTCCTAGAGTGTCTTGGCTCTGCCCCAGGTCTCTCTTGCTCTTCAAAGATGTGCTATTGGGGTCCTCAGCTGCATTCTCCTGCTCTGAGCTCTCATCATTTCGCAAGCTTTCATCTGTACGTCCTACTCCACTGTCCTTCTCATGGTTGTTGGATGAGGATGTTGCAGTGTCTGTTGTGCCTTCTTCTTCTTCTTGCTTTTTTGGCTAAGAAAATGATGTGAACAAAGAAAATGAAAGAACAAAGAAAATTAATTAGTTTGGAAGACATTGGTTATTAAAAATCTTGCTTGAAAACCAATGTTTCTTGCAAAGTTGCATCTCCTAGAAAATTGCTCTAATTTAAGGTCCATCACAATTTTAGAAATAAAGGAAATTAGCTCATGACAGCTTTTTATACAAGAAATGAAGAAAACAAAAGCTGCTTGAATATGGCTATGATATTCACTTGGATATAAATAAGACAGGATACATTCAAATAAGTGATTCTTTAGGTTTTCTCTTACTTGGGAAACTTGAGGGGTGAAGGTGGCTTAGTAATGTATCGCTGGCTTAGTAATATGCTGACAATGGGTAAGCCAAACATCACAGAGATTTAGGAATAAGTTAACATTATGTACTGGAGTCTAGGACATTGCTGTCTATAGGGGAGGATGCTTAATCCCAGATGGATTCAGGTTATTAGTGACAGATTCGGGTTATTAATGACAGAGGCAAAGCTTCATCTTCCAGTGCCAGAATTTCTTATATGTCCAGGATGCCATATTCTTGAATACATGGGCTGTGACCTCAGTGCACTCTAAATCATGTTTCTCAAAAGCAACAACAATGTCTTAGGACTCATTTGGGTTGTATAAGATTTCTCTACTCTTAACCAGGGATTTTTTTTCAAAGATAAGTTTTAGTCTATTAATAATAAAAATTCAGTCCCAGGAAAATTTGAACAGCACTGATTGCCAAACATGGACATAATATCAAATAATTTTTGACATATATATCACATATATGTATATATGTATCCATGTATGTTTATGTAGAGAGTGTGTGTGTGTGTGTGTGTGTGTATGAGTGAGAGAGAGAGAGAGAGAGACTCTGGTAATTTTTGGCTTTCACGTAAAACAATTAACTGTAATTGTCCTAATAAGATGCATGTGTCGTTCTTTCTCTGGGAATATTGTGAAGTTACTTTCACCTCTATCAGTCATCACATGATAATCTATAAGGCAGTTTCTAGATTATATCTGCCTCATGCCTAAGTTTATTCACTAGATAGATAGATAGATAGTTAGATGGATAGATAGATAGATGGATGGATAGATAGATAGATAGATAGATAGATAGATAGATAGATAGATAGTAGATATAGCTAGCTCCATCCCTCTAGCAGATGTAATTACATAATTAAATATAATCAAGCAAACAGCTAGTGCTAAATAAGGATGGAACAGGTGATAAAAGGTATTCTAAAAGAAGTCTAAAAGGTATCTCTAGATAATCATTATTTTGTTCCACAAAAGTAATGGCAGAAAAAAAGTAACATAAATTGAAGAGGCGAGAACATAACCATGTATCAGTATCAGTTTATTTTATGACTCTCAATCTTTCCCTGGAATATGTTCCTTCATTTGTTGAAAACACACTGAGATTTATCTTACATGTCTTGTTGATTAAAAAAATTATAATAAGTAACTGTAACTAACAATGGAAAGCTTGCTGCATCCCTAGGCTGTGACTTACAAGGTAACAATAGTATTTAATATGGCAATGTCTGTATACTATACCATATAACTCTCAAAGGATGTTATTGATACTGGGCAGTTGAATTTATATATCATGTTATTTATAATTATATTTTTCTAATATCTTGTCATGAGCTGAAAAATACAAGAAGACTAGTAATTTTTTTCTTATTTCACAATTGAAATAATAATGACAAATTATGCTATTGGAGATGTTGCACAATGTAACAGCATTCATAAGACCAAGAATACTATATAAAATGAAACTTTCCATAAAGTAGGTTCACATATGGGTATGTATTTTATTTTTTCAATTGAATTTTCCCTTTTCTTTGTTATTGGTCTATGAACAACTGTGAAAATAAAAAGAGTTTTCCATTCTCAAACCTAGAATTCCTAGTTTCTAATGCAATGTTACCCTATCATTTATCATTTCCCTATGGAATTATTATAGTGACATGCAATGTTTCTACCTAGACATTTCTAATGTAGTATTATTGTTTATAAGGGCAAAGGATTTTTAAAGGTTTCTGTACTTCTCATCATTTTTTTCATTTCATGGTGAAGAAAAATTTCCACACAATGAGAATCTAACCTCAGGGACATCTAGTGTTACCTCACAAGACCTAACATTTGTATTACCTCTGATGAGTAGGCAGCATTTGACACCATATCACTTTTCCTGGACAGGATTTCTCCCTGCTTGCCTTATTCCAACATCCTCCTGTCAATTCAGTATCAGGTCACATTTTGTATCTAAGAAAAAAAAAGGCCTGGAGCAAGGACTTTCTTGTTTGTAACCAGCAGCTGCCACCAAAAATATCTTTATTTGTGGCCAGTGTTGAAGTTATACATAAAAATTTTAATCTGTCCTATCTATATTGAAAGGCAGTTACCACAGTAGCGATATTACTTGTGAGCATGAACTTCTGTTTGTGGAGTGGCCAAACTCCATATGATGAGCAAATGAGTATATCACATATGACTATGTTGATGCTATACTGTGTAATCTAATTATGTATTTAATATGTGGACATGTGTACACACATACACATTTCTGTTATGGGATGTTAGCAAGCTGAATATTTCATTATTCAGCGTGGTAAAGTGATAGAATGTTTGTGCTGCATGTTTCTAAGCCTGTCAAGATTTTCAAAAAAATTATCATCTTTTAAGATGTGTTAAGAGTTAATGTTGAGGCCAGGTGCAGTGGCTCACTCCTGTAATCCCAGCACTTTGGGAGGCCGATGCTGGTGGAGCACTTGAGGTCAGGAGTTTGAGACCGGCCTGGTCAACATGGTGAAACCCCATCTCTACTAAAATTACAAAAATTAGTTGGGTGTGGTGGCAGGCCCCTGTAATCCTGGCACTTTCAGAAGCTGAGGTTGGTGGAGCACTTGAAGTCAGGAGTTCAAGACCAGCCTGATCAATTTAGTAAAACCCCATCTCTACTAAAAATACAAAAATTCGCTGAGCATGATGGCATGCACCTGTAGTTGCAGCTACTCAGGAGGCTGAGGCAGAAGAATCACTTGAGCCCAGGAGGCAGTTGCAGTGAGCTGAGATTGTGTCCCTGCACTCCAGCCTGGGCAACAGAGCGAGACTCTATCTTTAAAAAGAAAAAAAAGAGGCTGGGCGCAGTGGCTCATGCCTGTAATCCCAGCACTTTGGGAGGCCGAGGAAGGTGGATCACGAGGTCAGAGTTTGAGACCAGTCTGACCAACATGGTGAAACCACGTCTCTATTAAAAATACAAAAATTAGCTGGGCATGGTGGTCCCTATAATCCCAGCTACTCAGGAGGCTGAGGCAGGAGAATCAATTGAACCCGGAAGGTGGAGGTTCCAGTGAGCCAAGATTGTGCCACCGCACTACAGCCTGAGTGACGGGGCAAGATTCCATCTTAAAAAAAAACAAAACAAAACATATATATATATATATATATATATAAATACAATACATATAATAATAATGTTGAGAATACGAAGATAATTAAACAAATCTGTAAACTGAAAACAAAATTATATCAGGCAGATAAATGACATGAGTGTAACATAAAAAATCTAGAATCTATTGAACTTGTTTTTGTAAAATGGGAAAACGACAATAAAAATAATATAATAATCACACTGTGATCTTTCACTTATTATGAATCCATTAGTGACAGCAGTTCTACTCATTTTTCTTTGTATTCTCAGTTTCAAATGGGGTGCTTGGAGTATATTAGGCGTTCAAAGTTTTTAGTTGAATGAATATGTGACTTCAAGGCAAAAGGATGTCAATAATCTCAAACTATGCTATGAGAAATGTTGCACAAGTTATGCTATGGGAAATGTGTCAACAGCAGCCATAAGACCAAGGATAATCTCTATGATTATTCAGAATATACAGGTGTAATCACGCCATCCAGTACGCAAATAAAACTGATGGTTTACATCACGTCATCTTCATCCTATAGTGATAGCCTAAGTATTCAAATAGATACATTAATATTTTAAAGTAAAAAAAAAATTACTTGTTGGGGAGGCTACCTCAGTTTGTTTTCAGCTGGCATATTGAGAAGCAACACACATTTTTTACTCTGAAATTTCTGCAGTGAGTTTGAAGTAGTGCCTGGGTCAACATTTGAATACTACTGTACTGTATTCACAATGGTCCCCAAGCTTCCCAAACTGGAAATGGAAAATCATTTTATTTATTCCCTCTGCTTCATTTGAGATGACAATTTGCTCTAAAAAATTACCATGACAGAGATGTTTGATTAAACCCTTTGATTTTGTTTTCATCTCCATTTATGGTTACACATTAAAAAAGAACAAGCAACATCTCAAATCATGTAGTTCAAATTGTTGGCCCTACCTGCTCCACCTCATTGGCAGTGGGCTGCATTGCTTCACTATGCTCTTCTTCCAACATCTCCAAGTTTAACTCCTCTAAGAATTCATTCCTTTCATCTTCCAGCCAGCCTTCATCTAGCTGCAAAAGAATACATTAGTACATTATATCATGTTAGTGAGAACTCATGGTAAAATAGAGTAAACTTAAATGGCCAGTGCCCGACGAGTTCCTTTTATCATAATGATTCTCTTCAGAATACCAGCCTCCCATGGTTCACCTTTCAGAAAGAAGAAAAGGTGATAAAAAAAAAAATTGGACTCTTATGCCTTTTATCCTTTCCTGAAACAGGGCTACAGATTTTCTCTCATAACCAAGTAAATCTCACAGCACAGAACATTACCTTCTTTCAAAATGTATGAAAAGCATCCTGCATAATCCACAGCTGTCATGCTCATTACCTCCAACAGTCCCGTGTTAAAAGGACTGCCATGCTACTAATAGGGCTATGAGACAATTGGGCTTTTTTCTTTAACAACAAACCCCAACGAGACTGCATACAAAGTGCCCCGCATACGCTCATGCTATCCTCATCCTGCTTTTTTCTTTTTAGGTGGGCTCCCATATTAACAAGATGGCTGCTTGCCACAAAAGAATCTACAGACAACATTTATTTTGTCTGTAAAGGAAGGAAAATTCTAAGTTATTCTTCCCAAAAAAAAAAAAAAAAAAGGAAAGGAAAGCAATGTCACTCCGTGTCTATTTTAATTCGTTTTCAAGCCCAATTTTATAGGAAAAGCACCACAGTGGATGTGACATTTAAGGGTGGTGGAGTGGTGTGGGGCGTGCAGGGTTTTGTTTATGGGTGCTGAAAACAAGTATTCTTGTAGGACTCTTAACGCAAATTAAACTGAACAAATCCCTTCGGCTTTTCAATACAAAGTGAAGTGGAAAACTGGTGGTTACCTGGCTAATATGATCAATGTTGACAGTACAGATAATTTGCCTCAAAGTGGATTTTTGGAGCTGGATTACATAAATTAGCTGTCTATGCTGATTAAATTAACTGGATTATTGTCAAAACTCTGCATCACTCTGTACAAAGAAATAGCAGCATTCTAGTGAGCAAACATGGATAATAGTTTGAGATATTTTCACCACCAGTGAACTGGCAAAATAAGCTTTTAAACATAACTGAACTTCTATAACTTAAAAACAAACTAGAAAGGACATTAAGCTGCACCAAAAGAGGCATTAGCATATATGTATCATCTTTATTAATATGCAGGCAAATCATAGATTTTATAATATCTATTAAAGGCCATGTAGAACTTCAATGACCTCAAATTTAACTGGGGCCCAAAGTGCTGGCACATTTGTTCATCCTCGTTTAGCTTAATGTGGCCTGAATAAGTTGATCAAATGCCTATGACTTTGATATGCAGATGAGCTATGATAATTATGCCAACTAAAAATGTAAATTCGGTCCAATTGATAATTGTTCAAATTTTACATTCTTTAATCTTTTTCAAGTATCATAAAGCTACAAATGCCAGACCTCATAAAAAATTACTTAAAATGGGGAGTGCTTACTTTTCTCAAACACATCAAGGAATTTTTCTTTAGGTCAAAATAAAGTATTTTCTGACACTGATATAGTGAATGATGAAACAGAGTTTTTTGAGGATTAAATGAAGTGGTGGGGAAAATAAAGAGAAAATGGTCAAAATTAATGATTTCCTGTAACTCTTTTCTCATTGAGTAATCCAGTAGATTCCTGAGTTGCCAGCCATAGTCATTATATGTCTGTTTTGATAAGGCTTTCTTTTAGGCTGGAGATGCACACAGCCCAATTAGCAAAGGGAGATTCTTCTTGCTCACTTCCTTCCTCTCTCCTATTTCCCCCTTTCTACCTAGCTGTATATTCACTACAGTCTGAGTCTAATGTAATGGCAGAGACAGACATCTCCCTTGAGCTGAGATGTGGGAAAAGAGGGATAGTCATTACTAAGAGTGGGGATCTATCTGCACCAAAGGGGGCCACATGTAGCATCTCAGAGAAAGGAACAACCTACACTGTCTCAAAGGTATGGCTACAAGTTCTTATGAGAATCCTCTCTGCCCCAGTGTCCTGCGGGAAATAGGACAGAAAAGCAGTATCTTTAATGGTCTCTGGAAGAAAATGGGCAGAAAATGAAAGAGAGTTGACAAGAAATGAGGAAAATGAGTTATTTAAAAATATTGCACAGATGCACAATACTGCCCCTAGCAACTCTGTAGATCATTTCCAAGAATCTAGAGAGTATTTGAAACATTAAAAATTTTTAAAAAAAGCTAGAAAAAGCACACAAAAAGCTTCCACATTCTCCCTGAATAAAATATACATGCAACAAAAACAAAACAAAACAAAACAAAACCAATAATGAGATACAATGAGTTCAATGGAAAAATATGGGTGATATAAAAACAAGATTTTTTTAGTGTTTTTTTTTGGCCACTTTATAGCATGCACTGATCAAATTACATTTTTAAAGTATCGTCTTAAAATGTATTTCTTTTCCTGATTTCCCTGGAAATCTGTTTGTGTTTTTTTTTTCTATAGGCAATTAGCTTCCTTCCAGTGGCATGAAGGTTTCTTCAGGATCAAGGTGTTAATGCAGATCGTAATTTTGACAGGCAGGACAGCATCCTATGGAGTCAGACAACCATCTTTCATCAAGTGTGGAAAGGGAAATCTCATTTGAAATTTCATCCTTCAGCATTGACTCTTTTGGAGGAAAAGTTCAGAAGTGTAGCCAGATATTCAGATTTTCCACTGGTTCTACCCAGCGTTTGTATTCCATCAAAGATTAACAGGATCTGGTCTTATGTCATTAATTTCTATTATTTCTACAGCCCATTATGGCCACTATGTGGCATAGTTTAAGGAAATGCTTAGTTCTAAATTAATGACGTTCTCTAGCAGTTACATGGAAAGGGCAGGGAAACCACATTATAACATAAAAAATCTTCTCTACAATAGAGATGGCAACTTCAATTTATCATAAATTTCACTAATGTGCATTTATCCCCTTTATTATGTTCTTTTTTGAAGAAAATGGGAGCAGTGAGATAACTGGGTTGAGAAATTTCCAGATAATTGGTATAATTTCATATGCATTTAAAAATTCGCTCCCATATAGGCAGTGTGGGGGTTGTGTGGGCTTGTTTCCCCACTCCTAAGACCTCAGGTGTGTAAGTTTACTCTGCCCCAGACTATGGCAAACTTTATGGGAACCATTTAGAATGGGCAAGGGCATAAAGGAAATATATGCGGAAAGGGTGATCCTTTATAACCACTATATTCAAGTCAGGATTCAGTCTGACACTGAAATACACTTACTCAATGTAATTTATAGATAGTATGTAGTTACTGAGTCTGAAAAATATCAGATCAATAACCAAGGAGACAAATGGCAATATAACTAACTTTACTCAAACTACTGACAGATGGATAGACTGGTGACAATGTATTGTCCCTTCTGCCTTGTGGTGAGAGATAAAAAGGATATAAAAGGAAGCCCCAATGGTACTTTTCTTCCACCATTACCTTTCCTTTACTTTCATGACATCTTCTTCCATAAAGATCTAAAAAATTTATTTAGAAGCTATCAGTTTGTTTTTGGCTGGACAATTGTTTTGGTCACACTAAACGTGGAAAAAATTCATTTAATATACATGGAACCAGATCATGCTATACAAGACATTTGAATTGATAAAGTTATTTGAAAAAGATTTAAGTTGATGACTAGATAGGCTAGTGTTTCTCTCATGGAGATTCTTCCAAGAGACCTTCATATGCCATTTAAGTATTTTCAGACGGAAACCTAAAGCAAGGATTCACACAGAATTAAAAGGATCTATACAGCCATTTTTCATTTGAGTATTTATTTAAGTAACTGGAAAATTCAAGGAGAGAATCACAATTCAATTTGGTATGCTTTTCCCCTCTTAAAAGGGATATTTAGCTGCCATTCTATGGAGCAATATAAGGAAGTCTTTAATGTATAATATTTTTGATAAGTTAGGAAAGATCAGTCTTCACTGTATTTTGTATACCTTAATTGCTTTCATATGTATTTTAAAAATTCGCTCCCACATAGGCCATCTGGTGGATTATGTGGGGAGAGATAACCATGATAATGATTTAATAGAGAATAGCAGATAATGAATATAAATTCATTCACGAATTTACACTCAGTGAATTCAATGAATATAAAGTTCAGTCTCAAGACTTTTGATCTCTGTTCTGACCTGAATCTCTGGCCTTGCAACAAGCAGCACGATTCTCTTACACTCATCGTTAGACAGCAAGGCCACGGCTTCTTCTCGATTCTGGACATCTTCCCCATTTATCTAGAAAACAAATGAGAGTGGCACATTAGTTTCCATTTCCACAATGCTGCACACAATAAATGGCAAATATCAGCTCATTTATGGTAAATGTATGGACAATGAAGCTCACACAATGGGCTCATCTTCAGCCCCTCAGCACAAAGTGCCTTCACTCAATTACGCGCTTACTGTAAGAGCCATATCGATCCCTGAAGGATGGCGGACATCAGAGGAAGCAGTTATGTTCATAAATGTCCAACCTGCGCCCTGGCAACATACATCTAGCAACACAATTAACCAGCTCCTGACAGGTGACGTTCATCTTTCTTCGCTCAGAGTAATGGAAGTGTCACTCTGAGATAATAGTGCTGGGGGAAGAAGGACTGGCAATACCACAACTGAAATCCGTCATCCTGCACGCTCGCCGCGAGCCAATTAGAGAGCTGCAGTATTATCTCTCACCAGGCAATGCTCCCAGGCCACTGCTGATTGCCTTTTTATTTAATCATTTCATATTTGTGTGTGGGTCTGACTCAGTTGCCCAAACATCATCGTCAGGATAAATCTCAGTGTTTAACTGATCAAAGTAAAGTAACATTCTCATCAATACTCCACTTCCCTTCTAATATTTATCCATTTCCTAAAGCATAAAACTAATGAAATATCTTCAGACTCATCTTTTAAATAATTTTTAAAAATCTTTAAAAAATTAACATAGAGTAAAATTGAATTTTTAAAGTAATGATGAGTGAAAGAAACCATCTTGAGTAAACTTTAGATTTCATGGAAAAGATTCCAGTGGCATTAGAAATAGATCTTCTTACTTTTTCTAAGTTCTAAAGAAAGAGTAAATGAGATTTGTAAAGTTTCTTTTTTTTAAACCACATTTTCATGTGCAAATATATTTAGCTCTTAATTGACAAAACATTTTCCTTTGGATATTTAATGATTATTTTCTTTTATTGATTACTAACTCCATAGAGACAATAAGATTTTTGATCCATATATGTAATCAAATAATGTGGAAAGAATTTCCAACTAAAGAGGTCAAGTAATTCTGTCTAAAATAGTATTAATTACTTGAATAAATTAAACAGATGGAAAATGTGGCAGCACTGACCATTCCTTTTTCAATAATTAATCTAATGTCTTTCACTAAGGACTTCTGCTTAAAAGCATAGAGTAGACTATTGAGGTTTTTCTCCTCATAGGTCTCTGGGTTTCTGGCTGATACATGAGGACAGACGTAATTATCTGAAAACAAGCCCAGGAATTTCAACTTTGGACCATAATAAATAATCCTTATTCCTACACTCTTATATGTATTTAGTGCAAGGAAAGCAGACAATGATAATAAAAAATATATATATGGGTACAAGTTGTGTTTTCTTACTCCAATCACTGTCATTTCTCACTTGTATACATAGAAAGGAAATTCAGTTGTTGTAAGTTTCACATGCATTCCCCATTTGTTTTTGCAATTCACAAATAAAATTCATTAAATTAGGAAATAGAGACTATGATTCCACAATGGGAAATAATGACTGGGAAGGATATGTCGTGGTTTGTCGTAAATACCTCTGGAAAAACATGTGTGTACTAACTCCAAGGCTTTTTTTCTCAAATAAAGATAAATTGGCAGTGGTGGATTCCACTATACCTCCCCTACCCTCTCTTAAGTGTAGTTTTAAAATAATGACTTTGCAGTATTTACTCTATTTGCACTTTGAGGGCTTATGTCTGTTTCATGGTAATTCTTAGTAATATATTTGTAATGCATCTATTTGTCTGTCAAATATGAACCTGTTTATTCATCTCTTCTCCACTACATGCACATCTGATCCTGAGAGAATTGAATTGGGTGATCTTACACAGCTTACCTTCATCTTTTCTGTTTGAAATATACTTCTCACTTCTTTTTTTCCTAGTCTCCACTTGACTATATATATATGTGTGTGTGTGTGTGTGTGTGTATATATGTGTGTGTGTGTGTATATATATATATTTCCTCATTCTTCATCTGAATTTCACTTACCATTAATATAAATAGTTATTCATGTTAGTCTAATGCTGCTATTATGTTTGCTATCTTAAAAATGCATGTAATAATAGTGCCTTGCCCAGAGGGTCTTTATAAGGATTACATGAGTCGATATAGGTAAAAATCTTAAATAGCACCTGGTACATAGAAAGTCTTCAACGTTGGCAAATATTACTGTTGATGTTATTGTTATTGTTGTTATTATTATCATAATTTATATTTTAATCCTTAGTAAAGACAAGTCTCTTTCATACTAAGTAAAGCAAATAGAGTGAAATTTATGGAAAGTAATTAAATGCATAGTAGTAAACATGGTTTTATTTTAAAAGATATCTACCTCATATGTATTTCTAACCCTTAGAGGACCATCAGGAAATAATGTGGTTGCTTGTCTTTTAGTTTCTTTATAGTTGGTATTCATCTCTCTCCCCTGAGAACTCATTATGACCAGAGCTATGTTCTCTGGTCCTGGCAACAATTAGTTCTTATTTTGGGGCAACAGATCATTTCTTGCAGAAACACTTCTACCTTCAGGATCATACCTCAGATGAAATCACTGCCACAGAAACCTGACATTAAAATGTAATTTATTATTTCTTTTAGAAAATAAGTGCCACACTTTAGCCAACCACTTGATAGATGCTATTGTACTCAGGACATTAGTTTTATACCCAAACTGATACTGGGGCAAGAAATGTAGCCATGGGTTTCAGCAAAGATACCTCTCAAGGAATGAAAAGAATTGAGGAACAGAATCAGATAGAGTTTTCCACCTTCGGTTGGTCTTGGTCCTGAAATAATGGCTTATAGTTACAGGATTGTTTGTGGGAATGCAGCCTGCTGTGCCGGGAAAATACCAGACAGACATGAAAGTGGAGGACCCAGCAATAAGGGAGAGAGACAGATGAGTAGTTATGTTACATAGCTTAATGGAGGACTTCCACTTTAGGAAAACAGAGGGAAAGAGAACCAAGGAAAAGACAGCAGGTAGGTTTTTTTTTTTTTTTTTTTTTAACATAACTGTCTGGAATGTTATTCTACAGAATATCTTATAATACTAGCTGATTTTCTTTAGTAAGACGTCAGAAAGTTAATTATATCTTTTTTTTTTTTTTTAACATAACTGTCTCATTTTCTGTACATGGCCATATGTAAATGTTAGTTTCAGAATGGATATTGCCTTGGCTAAGAAGAGATCTGTGGTACTTATATGGATAGATCTTTCAAAATCTCACTGTAGGCCCAATCTCCTGTATCTGTGTATGAGTGTGTTTTGTATGTGTGTGTGTAAAGTCCTAAAAGCTTAGAAATGAGATGTAATATAGCTTTTCTCTTCCATATACCAATATCTATGTTTTTTCTATTTTTGTACCAGAGGTAGGTGGGCAACTCAAATTCTTGACATTGAACCATCAATGGAATTTCTTAGGAAAACTCAAGAATCTTAGGCAATAAGAAAAGATTTATTTCAAATGTGTTTATATTTTACTATGGAGACAAAGGAGGTGATCAAAGTATAGAGACATAGATGTGGAAACAACAGAAATAGTGGGGAAATATCCAAAGGGAAGAAAGTAAAAGAATAAGAGAACTAGGGTATTAGTTTGTTCTCACGCTGCAATAAGGAAATACCTGAGAATGGGTAATTTATAAAGAAAAGAGGATTAATTGGTTCACAGTTCTGCAAGGCTGGGGAGGCCTCAGGAAACTTACAATCATGGAAGAAGGCACCTCTTCACAGGGTGGCAGGAGAGCGAATGAGTGCTGAACAAAGGGTAAAAAAGTCCCTTATAAAACCGTCAGTTCTTGCAAGAACTCACTTACTATCACGAGAACAGCATGGGAGTAACTGCCCCCATGATTCAATTACCTACCACTGGGTCCCTCCCATGACACACAGAGATTATGGGAACTACAATTCAAGATGAGATTTGGGTGGGGACATAGCCAAACCATATCAACCAGTTTATGTGTAGAACAGAGAAATGAAGAGAGAGCCCATTAGAAGTCCTGTTGTTTCACTGTTTGAGTTCTTGTAAAGTTTCGTCAGGAAGTCATCCTTAGGAACATGATTGAGCTTTTGGCCAACATGAGATTAGGCTGTTTACATGGAATATTACAGGTTTACCATCCCAAGGAGAAAAGGAGAATATAGCACTGCCTTTTTGGAAACTCCTTGGAAAGCTGGTCACATATGTGGTCTTTTACTCTTGTTATCTGACTCAGAAATGCCATATTCAGCACTGAAATTGTGTGAGAAAATGTCCTCTGATTAATTCCTGGAGACATTTGATATAAGTTCCTGGAAATGACACAGCAGACAGAACTGTGAAGGAAAGAAAAAGAAGAACTTTCCTTGCAGACTAAAAACACAGTAGAACCACAACTATTCTCAGGAATCTGGTTTCTGGTTTCTCTTCTGCACAATCCCTACTGTATAACAATCCCCTTTGTGTGAGAGCACGTGTGTGTGTGTGTGTGTGTGTGTGTGTGAGTGAGATGTCACTGGGTGAGGTCACCTACAGACCCATAGTATGCTACATTAAGAAAAGTTTGGCTACACAATGAGGGCAGGGCCATTGACATACTTTACTTAGGTCAAAAGAACAGAAAATTAAAATCACAATTGCTCTTAAGGGATTCATTTAAGTAAAAGCCATCCGAGAAACTTTAAGGATAAGAGGTAAATCCTCTGTTTTTCCCATTCTCATCTCTCTGGGAAAGGAGTCATTAACTGCTCATTACAGGGTATCCCATAATCTCCTCATCAACCATAAGGGAGCTATTTGTCTCTGGGTACAATTTTGTCTAAGTGTTACTTAATATAATTTCATAATCACCCTTAAGACTCTTTGTTTCCTATGTGTGCAGACAGAATTGTATTCTAGGTTTTTTTAGTGGGACATGTATTAAGTGTGACATGTTTGTCACAGAATATAAAGTAATCAGGCAGAAAACAGCACTTCAACATCCTGCTATTGTTTCCTTAGTGAACCTAGACCGTTAAGGAATGCCTTATTATCTAGTAGGCATTTTCTCGAAAAACTTATCTGCCCACAATATCCCTAAGGATTTGGAAGTGTCATAGCATACAGTATGCATGTATGGAAACACATCCACTTTATTTCTATCCAACTATACCCACAGAACAAATGAATGAAATTTTAATAACTGTATTTGTGTATCTAGCCTACAGAAAAGTGGTTAGCTGGGAACTAGGAAGGGCGCCAGGTACAGTAGAAAGTATGAGATGTGAAGTAGCTGGCAAGAGGAAGACCTGCTCGCTGGCAACAGCAAGGGAGGAGTAAGAAAAATGACACAATATAGACCTAAAGCATCTGCAAATGTATCCAGACAAGGTCATTTCATGTTGGGGCACAGGTTTTCCAGACTTTCCAATCACTGAGCATTTTACTCTATTATAGCATTGTGGAATGAATGCTGGGTATAACATGGCTCTGAGCATCAAATGATTACATTATTTTCAGTATATTTTACTGGAGATGTTAACAAGGTGAACAATATATTTAAAATTATTTCAACATTTAAAAAATAGTAAAACATTTTTGAAGCTTTTGTTATCTGGATGATACATGAAAATGGTCCCTTTAATTTCTTGAGGAGGCTATACAAGCAAAGCTTTCCAACAGATGTTACTCATCTATCCTATTATTCTCTCCACTGAATACCCTGGTTTCATTCATTGATTTATTCATGTGCATGTGTTAAAGATGACAGAAATGTGGTGGCCAACAAGACTATGTCTTCGCTTCCTGGTTCACTTTTCCTTCCCCCATGTATGACAGACATAGCTCTGTTTTGTTTACTGTAGATCACTATTTAGGGAGCTCTTGGAAGGAGAAATTATAAACTTGAGGTTTTCCGATAACTAGTGGGAACCCAAACGATCATTAATTCACACTTTGTATTCTTTCCCGTTTGGAGCCTTAGCAGAAGGTCCATGGTGAAAAAGGAGCTCTGCACTATCTAGCTAGAAGAAGAACAGGCGGTGAGGAGGTGGTGTGATTCCATGAGTGTTGTCCTGAATAAGGGAGAGAGCTGCAGAAGGCTGGGCAGGACATGTGCCCAGGCAGCGCAGGCAATGTTACCATGACAGTGTCACGCTGTACCGTAATCATCTGTGTATGCTCCTGTCTTCCTAAACAGAGACGGCGTGCTCCAAATGCTGGACAATAGCTTGTCTATTTTTGAAGCCCTGGTTTTCAGATTCCAAAAGTGTGGAATCCAAAAACAAAAACAAAAACAAAAACAAAAACAAAAATAAAAACACTCTCCAGGGGTCTGTGTCCAACAAGGAGAAATAGAAGCTCTGGAACTGTGGCAGTGACGTTTTAACAGCTTATCGCTCCCTGGATTTATCATTCAAGTCCTCTTCTCTGTTTCACAGTTGTGATCAGCAGTGAAATTCCATCCCAAAGGACCTCTGGTCTTATCTTGGGGTTGATCTGTTTACAGGAGCTGGGGACCTTGTGTGTCTCCCTGCAGCCATTCTTGTTTTTTTGAGACAGTGTCTCACTCTATCATCTAGGCTGGAGTACAGTGGTGCCATCTCGGCTCACTGCAACCTCCGTCTCCCGGGTTCAAGTGATTCTCCTGCCTCAGTCTCCAGAGTAGGTTGGATTACAGGTGCCTGCCACCATGCCTGGCTAGTTTTTGTATCTTTTAATAGAGACGGGGTTTCACCATGTTGGTCAGGCTGATCTCAAACTCTTAACCTCAGGTGATCTGCCTGCCTTGGCCTCCCAAAGTGCTGGGATTACAGGCGTGAGCGACCGGGCCTGGCCCCTGCAGCCATTCTTTATGGGAGAGGACTCAGAAAGGAGAGAGCAAGCAGGTGAAGGCAGGTTTAGGATAGAAACTGGCTTTCAGCTATTCCTGATTTGGCCTAACACTCTCTTTTCAGCCTCACATCCCTCCTACAGTCTGCTTACCATCTCTCACGTAAAGCTGAAATGTAATCAGTCTCTATGTTTTCACATTTCCAAGTGGGGAATAAAACACATTCTCCTTCATCTCCCAGCAACTCATTAGTAAATACAGTAGTGCACTACACAATAACTTTTCAGTCAACAATGGATCGCAGATAAGTCAGTGGACCCATAAAATTTTAATACCTTGCTTTTACTGTACTTTTCTATGTTTAGATACATAGAGACTTACCATTGTGTCACAATTACCTACAGTATTTAGTGCAGTAAAATGCTGTACAGGTTTGTAACCTAGGAGCAATAGGCTATGCCAGCTAGGCTAGGTGTGTATGTAGTAAGCTGTACCATCTAGGTCTGTGTAAGTACACTCTCCAATGTTTGCACAACCGGAAAATCATCTAATGACATTTCTCAGAACATATTAAGTGACGCATGACTGTAGTTGAAACTTCTTCAAACTTCTAGAATTTCATATAGCAAAGGAACATCTAGATCCATGTTCACTTAGTTTATTCTGGAAAAGGCAGCAATAACTGCCGCTGCTAGTAATAATAGCCATTAATATTTATTACGTACTTATGCACTGTGTTAAGCATATTGTGTGCATAATCTCATTTCACCTTCACAACAATAATAGGTTATTATTACCATTTTTTTTAAGACGAGGAAATAAAGCTTAGGATGAGAGGAGGTTAGGCAATGTGCCAAGCAAGCTGGAAGAGAAGTCAAATTTGACTCCAGAGATGGGATCTGAATCACTAATTAGTAGCTAATCACTCTTAATAAATCACACCATCCTTAATAAGTTTTAAATGATAGCATTTTTTTTTTCTTGGTTTTGTAGATGTTAATATCCAAAAGCAAAGACAAATTTTTTTTTTCTCAACAGTTTACAAGAAACAAAATAAGCCGGGCGCGGTGGCTCACTCCTATAATCCCAGCACTTTGGGAGGCTGAGGCGGGTGGGTCACGAGGTCAGGAGATCGAGACCATCCTGGCTGACATGGTGAAACCCCGTCTCTACTAAAAATATAAAAAATTAGCCGGGTCTGGTGGCGGGCGCCTGTAGTCCCAGCTACTCGGGAGGCTGAGGCAGGAGAATGGCGTGAACCCGGGAGGCGGAGCTTGCAGTGAGCGGAGATTGCGCCACTGCACTCCATGTCGGGCGACAGAGCGAGACTCTGTCTCAAAAAAAAAAAAAAAAAAAAAGAAAAAAATAAAATAGTAACTTTGGACAGATCGTGGAAAACTAAAGGAAATTACTACAGCACCTACTTGCAAAATCCGATCCCCTTCTCGAATCCGGCCGTCTTTGGCAGCAATGCTATTTGGGTCAACCTGTAATAAAGAGGACATACATCTTCAACTGAATATGAAACATTCCCTCAATAACTTAAAAATATGGTTTTAAAATATATTTTGGAAAAACTATTGCAAAATTCTGTGTTGATTTATGACAGTGCATGCCATATTTCTCTCCATCAAAACTCACTGATTCTAAAAATGCAAATGAGCTATTTTAGAATGAACAAGAATAAAATTGTGAGGACTAGAGCAGAACTTACTCTGAAGACCAGTTTTCCACCCTTCCTCTTCCTCTATTTCTTCCTTCCTTTTTCCCTTCATTCTTTTTTTTTCTTTTTTTCACATTCCTTCATTCATTTGTGTATCCCAACTGTCACACATGCTCTTCAGTTGACGTGAGATGACAGTAACACCAGGACTCTCTGGACCCAGGAAATTTACTTTCTATGAGATCATTTTAAATTCTGCTTTACCTGTCTTGGTAAAGCTGATAGCTACAGTGTAAGTTCATCCCTTTTTTTTGTTTGTTTTTGTTTTTGTTTTTTGAGACAGAATCTCGCTCTGACCCCTAGGCTGGAGTGCAGTGGCGCGATCTCGGCTCTCTGCAACCTCCGCCTCCTGGGTTCACGCCATTCTCCTGCCTCAGCTTCCCAAGTAGCTGGGACTACAGGCGTCCGCCACCACAACCGGCTAATTTTTTGTATTTTTAATAAAGGCGTGGTTTCACCGTATTAGCCAGGATGGTCTCAATCTCCTGACCTCGTGATCCACCCGCCTCCGCCTCCCAAAGTGCTAGGATTACAGGTGTGAGCCACCGTGCCTGGCCCCAAGTCCATACTTATTAAAGATAATTATGTCTCATGGACATATTAATTTATAAAGAAATTTACAACCTATATTGCTCAAGAAACACACACACACACACACACACGTCTGATCCATGCATTTAATTAGTACCACTTTACATGTGGGCTAAAGTATATTTACTACATACTATTTTAGAATGTATAGATATTTAAGGCTCTATTAGGAGGTTATCAGCATTTTAATGGGCTAAATTTGAGTGATGACTTACAGTTTACTGGGGGTAATTTCATCTATCAGATTTCATATGATGGCTTCAAACTTTATTTAGGCTTGTTGCACCAAAGCTTTATTTTTGAAGCAAACTGTTTCAAGTGTAGCATAAGGTTGATGCATTCTATCCATATGTTAGATATTACTTTCTTATTAGGGGTGCCAACTAATAATTGAGTCTTAAATCATCAATCAAGAATAAATGACACTATAATTACATGTAAGAGGTAAAAGGAAAACATTCCTTCCAAGTACATATGTTCAGATCCTGTGGCTTCTTTCTCTTCCCTGAATAGTGCAGTTCCAATACTGACATATTTAAATAGTAAATAGAGACTTACTAGAAGGAAGTGAGGGGTGATTCATGAACTCTATCCCATTTAAAAGCCACTCACAATCTAAAGCCTCATCTTTAGAACTGTAATCAAACTAATATTAAACTTCTACCTTCCTACCTCTGTACGTATTACAAAAGACAATTCCACAGGTGTTTCCTTATACTTCCTTACCCTAATCAGAGGAATTATCCTAATTGCATATTTAAAAGAACTACATAAGTTGAATATTATCTGGAGATTTTTCAGTCGCAGAAGCCAGTTAGTAAATTTTTTGGTAAAGGGATAAAGGATAATATTTTATACTTACAGAGTTGTAGTGTTTTTTAAATGCATTAATTACTTTATCTCTTCCATACTCTAAGCAAGTCTATCAAAACAGTAAGATAAGCATTGTTATACTCACTTTCTAGTTGAGAGGGCTGAAGTTCAGTATATTAGGTAATGTTTTCATGATTATGGCCAAGAAAACTTGGAACAGCATAAAGCAGCAATTAGTATCTAGTTTGTCTAACTTCTGCATTTATATATAAATATATATACATGTATGTTTTGCACATATAACTATGTACTTTTTTATCATAAGCATATTTAATTTTAATTTATTTATATTTAGAGACAGTGTCTCATTCTGTCACTCAGACTGGAGTGCAGTGGCACAATCCTAGCTCACCGTAACATTGAACTACTGTGCTCAAACAATCCTATTGCCAAAGCCTCCTGAGTAGTTAGGACTATAGGCATATGCCACCATGATTGACTAATTAATTTTTTTTTTTTATTTTTTTTTTTTTTTTTTTTTTTTAGAGACAGAGTCAAACTCCTGGCCATAGGCAATCTTCCTGTCTCGGCTTCTCAAAGTGTAGGGTTTATAGGCATAAGCCACTGTGCCCAGCCTTAATTTTTAAAAACACACCTTCCTACTTCACATAAAGTAATGCTTTTTGTGAGTTTTAAAAATCATCTATTGTAGTAAAATTTGCTTCACAGTCTTTAAAAGGAATTAACACTAACAGTAGCTCGCATTTTAGACTCTCTCTTGTGTATTGCTTCTTGGCCTTTGGCTAAGATCAAGTGTAGAATCTCATTGTGGGGTTGAATAAAACAAACTAATAGATGCACTCACTGGGCATTCAAATGTATCAATGCCATCAGCAGAGTAAAAGATGTGATTATTGTGAGTAGTAATTTAAAACAGTTAGCCAGTGCTACTGTTAATAGAACTCATAAGAGACAGTAGAATGGAAGGACAGATGTTTGAGGATCAAAAACTTTGATGGACTTGCTGCATTCTTATGGGAATTTATTCAAATTTGGAATTCAAAAATGTTACCACTTTTGCACTTTTCCTTGCTGGGATTCTGGGGTGAAAGAATTCACATTAAACAAGCTGATAATAATTACATTACTTGGGCAGCATAATTTACTTTCCTAATTGAAAGTGACAAGTTTTGGAACATGGCCAATTCTTCACATTCAAGCCTCTTAAGGAAGGGTTTTCTCACTGTGAGTCATTTCGCTCTGTTCCTCTGGTCTCCCTCTTCTAATTTCCCCTCCATGGCGTTTCTTACCTCGCTGACATAAATGCCGGTGTCTTCTTCATCATCTGTTCGGTAACAGACTGTCAGGCCCAGCTTCTCTTGACTGCTAACACGACACAACTCGACCTCCTGAGAGAACAACACACACACATGACATTTATGTCAGAGAGAAAATCTGCAGCAGAATGGAGAACTCACTGATATTCTTTGGGTCACTCTGGCAAGTATTAATAATTATTGCCCAACATTGGAAATTAACTTTTTGTTTTTACCAGTATTATTCAAATGTCCTTTCAGCATGGATTTCTATGAAGTTAAGCCAGTGTTTTATATTTTTATTGTAACGTTGGAGATACACAGCTGTTTGCATCAAGCTGTCAATGTAAAACTCCTTAAAAAGTACACAATAATATATAAATCAAATACATGCATACATCAATACACTGGAATCAATAAAATATTTGAGAATCTCAGAGTTGGTGGCAAAATGTTCATAAAAATATGGAGAGTTACTATTACATGTTTTTATTTGTATTATAAGAGAACAAAATAAGTTCAAATAATAATAAAAAAAGACTATACCAAGCTGTTTCCATCATTCCTGCTCTGGAGTTCTATACAATATGATAATAAGCAAGTGTTTTGTACAGGTTTGACCAAGGTTTTCTATTATTTTGTAGAAACTGTCATTCTTGGAAAGAAATGGGTTCATCCAGGCTGAAGGGAGAGACATCAAAAGCCACTTGGGGCAGAGGCAATGATTCAAAATGAAGCAGTAAATGAACAAGAAAATACATTTACTGAAACACATGGCTAAGGGCTTGAAATGTCAGTCCTCAGGTAACGTATATTGAATTTATTTCCTGATTTATGTTCTGCAAAATAATAATAAATTTCAGTGTATTTCAGTTTTATATGATGAAGTGGACTTGTACTACTTTCAGAAGCAGATGACTTCAGGATAAATTACATATTTCCAAGGATTAAAACACACATTAGCACACTAATTATGGAGAATTTATTCCTACTGGATGGAGAATATAAGACCCATTAGTAAATAATCGGATGAAGAAGAACAATGTCTATTTAAATTAGAAGTGAAGTCTGGATCAATTTCTAGCACTCAGGCTCTGTGGGAGCTCTGAATGTGTCTGAATTTGCTTAATGCTCTTTCTCCGGAGCCTAGAACAGGATATTTCAGTGTGGGCACTCAGTAACAACTAGCTGAAGGGTGACTAATTTTATTTCAAAAATCTTTTCTGGTGCACACAGATTTTTGTAAAACCATAAGTAGGTAGTCTTTCCTCTTTGATCGGAAATAAATGTGTGTGTGTGTGTGTGTGTGTGTGTATGTGTGTGTGTAAAGGTTATGAAAGTTGATAAGAATAGAGTGCTAAGGTCTAAATGTTTGTGTTTCCTACAATTTGTGTTAGGGTTTCAACATATTTTACCTACCAAGAAGATGGGGCCTTTGGTAGGTGATTAGGTTGTAAGGGCTGCTGAGCTCTCATGAAAGGGATTAGCGACCTTATAAAGAGGCCCCAGAGAGCTATCTTGCCTCTTCCACCACGTCAGGACACACACAGTGAAAAGGTGCCCTCTATGAGGAACAGGCCCTCACCAGACCCTAAAACTGCTGGTTCCTTGATCTTCGACTTCCTAACCTCTAGAACTGTGATAAATTTGTTTCTACTGTTTAGAAGCCACCTTGTTCATGGTATTTTATTATAACAGCCCAAATGTACAAAGACATAGAGTACTCATTTAATTGTCTAAAATCTGAAATAGTTACCAGTACAAAATGAAGGAAAACCTACTTAACTTCAAACAGGAGAATACTTCCCAGAACACTCTGTTACATTTGAGTAAATATCCTCCCTTTCAATTTTGTATTTCAATGAAGTCCTTGATAGTGGATAATAACATGTATAAAAATGATGTGCCATACACCATGAGTAAATCCTTAGCAAGAGGATTTGCTCTCATAAACTCCAGTGACCAATAATTTCACAGATAATAGCAAATAAAACTAAATTTAAATCCTCTATTCTGAGATAAGTACTGCAAATTAGTGAAATGCATGAAACTAAGAAGAATGCTGACTTTCTGTCCGGTGGACAAAGATACTCTATTTTATAGTGCTTAAAAAGGTTATAGCGTAGGCTGAACAGTAAAGAGAAAAGGTGAAACATCCTTTTACCTAGATGTAGACTAGGAAACAGTGAAATGATTTAGCACCAGAAGCAAAAATGTACACATCAAGCAAAGGTCTTTTCAAAACTGGTAATAATTAATGCCTCCAGAGGGAAACAATACTTGACTAAAACTGCAACATTAGGAAGGAATTATAGCAACAAAACAGCTTCAATTACAGCAACAAGGTATACAGTCGAGGAGTATCTCTTAGTGATTCCTAAGAGGCCAATAAGGAAACCTACACACTCCATAAGGAGTTGAGATTAGGGCCTTTAAATCAACACAAATGAGGAGCTGTAGCCAAAGCTGACATCCACTGACTTTCAATGCCCTAGCAAAGCATGGAAGCAACTGTCAGTATCGTGAGAAGACATTTTCAGGGGGGAATATTCTTTTTTGAATGTTTTCTCCACATTCTCAATGGTGTACCTTCACTTTGGTGTTTGCTTAGAAGGTGCATATCCAACTGTTTTGCCATAAAATTGAGTGAATATATTAAAACAAAAACGGCAGAATCTGCCTATAATCCTTCAACACCACAAACCAAAGCACTAACCCAAGAATCTCAGAGGAAAGGAGACTAAGGTCCTCAGGTCAAAGTAACTTTTCAATATTTTCCTTGCGTTGGACCAAACCAAAACTGTGAAACAGGTCTCAAAGTTATCTCCATGGTCTTTGTTTCCAATATTCCCCTTGGTAAGACACTCAACACCCTCCTATTTCTTTTCAGCTGCTTGGAGTCCCGGAGGTATGAGTATTATAGATTTGCCATTTTGCTTGTCCCCTAACAAAACCTGGCATTCAGTGTGATTTTCCGTTCTCTCACAGTTAACTCTTGAGACATAAAAATAATTAATACATAAATATCTCTCAAAGGAATCATCATTAACAATTACTTAAAATGTGACCCAATCAGGCTTTAGTGCATATTAATAAAGGCTGCAAATACAAAGCCTTAATGCAAGGGACTAAACCCTTGGGAGAAAGCCTTCAGGCACCGTAAGAGACCAAACTGAGATTTTTCTGGATCCCGCAAACCATCTCACACCAGTCCCAAGTGTGAAGTTGTATTTCTTGGCTGAGAATGTCTCAGATACTACATAGTTTATATTAAAACACATAAACATACATTTTAGAATCAAAGTTCCCTTAATTCTATGTCAAAATAACTTATAAGCAGCTACCTGTAGACAATTTTGTTTGTAGGAGGCAAAGGTGGCTTTATAAAGACTCTGATTATCTGAAAGGAATTCTGCAGCACAGGTTTAATTAAGTATTCCCTTCACAGGACACATAAGCCTCTGACTTCTGAAGAAACAACCTCCTGGTAATAGAGAATGTTTTCCCTAACAACTTTCATACCTTTCCCTCCGTCACTTGGAAGCTGTTTGATGAAACACATAAAAGTGAAATGCTACCTCTGCACATTTTCTCCATGGAGACAATTCATGAGTGTATACAAATCAAAGCTAAGCCTGCATGGATGGCAGCACTAACCATCCAGAAGTCATTTGTCACTAGAGTGAAAGAATCACTTCACACACCTGGTGAAACTACATTTATTTTGACTTAAATGTACTTCAAGACGTGCTATTCTGGGGACGTGTCTAAAGTCCTTTGAAAAAAATCTAACTTCAGCATCTAATATTGTGAGAAATTGATTATATATAGGGTGAAGGTCGAGTAGAAGATTACAGTTTGTTATTAAAGCTTGCTGTGAAACATCTTTCTAATCATAGAATGACACAAATAGGATTTTTACATAAATTGGTTGTACTCCAGTGGTGTGAAATTTTTATATTTTTTTGTGATTGAGTCTAGGGAGAAATGAGAAACTTAAGAAAAAAAAAATGCTTTCTAGATAGAACTCTGTCCTACTGGGGAAAGAAACAAGGGTTGACACTGCTTAAAAAGCAGTGACTTTTTAAGTAGCATTGTTCCCAAACTTTAAAGAACACTTAGGCCCATGCATGCCATAAAGATTTTCCTCTTCGTAAGAAAATTCAAATGCAGTCAGCACTATTCAAGTCTGAAGAAGATCTAGGGCTAGACAGGTTAGTCATTTATACCAGTTGACAACAGGGGAATGTAGAGTCTTTTATGTCCATATTTTTACTATTTTCCTGGTTTTTATTTATTAGACAATATATGCACTTTTACTCAATCTCAGTGTTAATCATATATCATCTTATATTTTTTAATGTTGATTAGTAACTAGTGAAATATCATGCCTTGTTGTTCCAATAAAACATTTATTTCAAAAAAGGAATCAAGTGAGAAATATGAACACTTTAATCTCCACAGCTAAGAGAAAGCTAGATAGTCTGTTATAAAAATATTGTTTCAGTGTCATTATCTCCTGCATAATGGAATCTGGGGATAATACTTAGTAAAAAATAAATCACAAAAATCCTGGAATATCAAATCCCTCTGACAAAACATTTCAGGTTTGCATTCTCCAACTCCAAATTATTCATAACAAGTTGCTGCAACTAATAATTAAATCACATTTCTGTGGAGACATAAGGGTGAAAGTTAAAGCTTATGGTCATGTCTTTTCTCTAACATCCTTAATCCCGCCTCTTTATTTGACTACTTCTTTTTCAATGGTCTCCTGAAATATGGGCGGCTTTTAACCTCCAATTTCCCATTCTTAGAATCAGAGACATTCTTTGGGAAAGAAAGCAGTCACATTTCTCTAGGCCCAGGTTGGCTGCTTCTCACTATGGGCTGTGAATCCCCTTAAGAAGTCATAAATGACCTATTTGGAGTAGATTTTATACCTTAACAAAGAAAGAAACATTACTTTTGCCTCTACTGTTAATGGGGGAGGAAATGAACTCATGATGCTGGCAAACAATAGTCGATGTCAGGAAATCTGGGCCAGGAATAGAAAAGAGAAACATAAAATTGAAGTAAGTGAGAAGTGATCC